CGCCTTGCCCTGCCGGGTGAGGAAGAGGAGGAAGAGTTACCGATGCCTTCCGGCAACCCCGGCACCCCGTTCCGTGAGCGGCGGGGACAGCGCGGGCAGCGTGGCGGCGTGTGAGCATCCCTGGGCCCAGGAGGAAAGGATCGGGCCAGACCCACCAAAGCAAGCGGTCCCCAAAATCCCGTTTCACCATCCCCCCCCCCGGGAGAGCTCAGATGCGCAAAGCCCAATTAGACGCATGACATCTCTGAACGGGGCCCGAAGCTCATCCCTGCCCCAACAGAGGAGAAACCGTCCCCCATCGTCCCAAGAGGTCCCCCCGGCTCCCGAGCGGGGTCCCCTCCCGCTGAACGGCGCGTGAGACGATGGTAAAGACGCGCATCTGCTCTGCGCCCGCACCGGGAGGATGGAGGCTTGGGCAGGGACTTCCCCCGGCTCACACATCGCTTGAAAAGTCACCTCTAAAGCCACGGATGGTCTTTTACCTTCTTGGCCCAAAAATTCAGCTCCTTGTTGACAAGCTGGATGAGCTCCGAGTGGCAAAAAGGCAGAAAATAGACGATCTCGTTGATCCTCCCCAGGAACTCGTCTCGTCTGAAGTGAGCCTGCGGGGACGAGGGGTGACGGTCAGCGGGGACGGGGTTGGTGACCCGGGTTGTCTCTCCGGAGACAGCAGGAGGAACTAGAAAGGAACTTCTCCCATGGGGGAAGCCCAGCTCCAGCCTCTACTGCCGACCGCTCCTGCCCCAGTCTCTTCCAGTAACGCCCCTCGCTGCCCTACAGCTCTCCCAGCGCTGAGGTTCCCATCCCAGCCTCCCGCCGGGAGGACGAATTCTCGCTCTCCGGAGGAGAAGGGGCTTCAGAAACATCTCAAAGAAACTCGACGTCGCGGGGAGGTTGTCGCTGCGCTCAGGCTTTCCCGGCCCCTCTGCGGCAGCGCTGAGGGTGGAGGTTCCCGGTGGGTTCTCAAGTCCCCTCTGGACCTCCCACCTCACCCCCCTGCCCGCCCTCCTCCTCCTCGTCACGCTCGCCCGCGGACCCCGGGAGAGCAGAGAACCCCCAAAATGCCACCGCGGCCCTTCCCGCCCCACGTCCCCCTCTCGCCCCGCGTCGCCGCTCCCGTGCGAGAGCCCAGGGGGGCGAAGGAGAAGCTGTTATTTATGTCTCCCGAGCTCTGAGCTTACTTCTTAAAGGCTGAAAATTAAAAATAATGACGCGACGTCACTCCTCTCCCTCCCATCTGGGGGACAGCTGGCGAGGAGTACGGTGGGTATTGCCTCGAATGACCAAAGCTGAGGACACCTGAAACACTATAGACGTGAAAAAAAAAACCCCATCATCCGTACCTTCAAGATGGGGCGAATCACCTTCTCCTTGAACTGCTTGGAGATGGTTATCTTTTCGGTGCCCTGGACGTCCTCTGGAGGAGAGAAGGAGAGAGAGAGAGAGGGTGTCAGCGGGTGACGTGGGAGAGTGGCTGCTCTCCCGCCGGGCACGGGACGGGTCGGCGGTGCCTTCGGCCGGGAGCAAAGCCCACCTCGGAGCCTGTCGGTGGCACAGCTCTGGCCGGAGTCCATCTCCCTGGGTTGACCGCAGGTGGAGCCGGGGTCGGGCTGACTGCCCGGTCCCACCGGGGGCTTTCCCCGTCTGCCGCCCTCCTGCGCTCTCCGCTTTGTCTTTACCGCCCCGGTTCTTCCTCCCTCTTCCTTCACCCGTTTACCTCCACGCGCCGTTTTAACGCGAGGATGCTCAGAGGGGGATCAGAGCATCCCAGACTGGTGGGGGCTGGAAGGGCCCTCTGGAGCTCCCCCATCCCACCCCCCGCCAGAGCAGGGGCACCTCCAGCAGTGGCACAGGACGGCGTCCAGGCGGGTTTGGGATGGCTCCAGAGGGGGAGACTCCCCCACCTCTCTGGGCAGCCTGTGCCACTGCTCTGCCGCCCTCACAGCAGAGAAGGCCCTCCTCAGGTGGAGATGGAACTGCCCATGGTCACCTTTGTGCCCGGTCCCTCTTGTCCTCTCACTGGGCACCACTGGAAACAGACTGTCCCCATCCCCCGGCACCTCCCTTGAAGGACTGATCAGCGTTGAGGAGATCCCCCTCAGTCTTCTCCTCTCCAGACTGAACAGCCCCACGTCCCTCAGCCTTTCCTCAGCAGAGAGATGCTCCACTCCCCTCAGCATCTCCGTAGCCCTTTGCTGGACCCTCTCCAGCAGTTCCCAGTCCTTCTTGACCCGAGGAGCCCCGAACTGGACACGGCGCTCCAGATGTGGCCTCCCCAGGGCAGAGCAGAGGGGGAGGATGACCTCCCTCCACCTGCTGGCCACCCTCTGCTTGATGCCCCCCAGGATGCCATGGGCCTTCTTGGCCACCAGGGCACATTGCTGGCTCATGGCCATCCTGTTGTCCACCAGGACTCCCAGGTCCCTCTCCACAGAGCTGCTCTCCAGCAGGTCACCCCCAACCTGTACCGATGCATGGGGTTATTCCTCCCCAGATGCAGCACCCTACACTTGCCCTGGGTGAACTTCATCAGGTTCCTCTCCACCCACCTCCCCAGCCCGTCCAGGTCTCGCTGTATGGTGGCACAGCCTTCTGGTGTGTCACCCACTCCTCCTTCCCAGTGCTGTGTCACCAGCAAACTCCCCGATGGCACACTCCATCCCTTCATCCAGGTCAGTGAGGAATCTATTGAGCGGGAATCAGACCCCTCACATCCGAGGCGCTCCGGGGTCGGATCCTGACAGGCAGGGCGACGGAGAAAGACCCACGCTGGGTGCTGGTGCCGTCCCCAGTTTGGCAGCCGTGGCGAAGGACTGTCGCAACCCCACCAACGGCAGAAGCAGCCGTTGGGGCTCCACCGGACCAACACCGCTGCCGGCACCCAACCAAGCGGTGCCGTGCCCTCCGAAATCACCGTCTTCTCCATCCCCCACGGCCGAGGTGCGGACGTCTTCGGCGATAAGGATTTGGCCCGTTTCACTTTTCTCCTTTCTGCTAAAGGGGTCACCAGCGGGTTTCTCCACAAGTCGCAGGCTCCTTCCGGCAGAGGCGAGCTGCGGAAGGCAGAAGCGCCCGAGCTGCTCCCGGTATCCGCGTCCGCCGCCTGCGCTATCCCCCGCTTTTCCCCCCGCGGCCGCAGAGACGCCGCGGAAGCGGTTCCCTCCCTCTATCTTTCCATTTATCTGCCCGGCCCGGCATTGACGCTGCCCTCCCGCTCTCCAGGAGGATCTGGGAGCCAAAGAGCTGAGTAAATTGCGAGGAGCTCCAGGAAACTCAATTTAAGGCAGGCTCCCGAGCCGGAGAGCCTTTTCCGGCGACGCTCACCGCGGCCGTCTGTCGGTACGGGTCTAGAAATTAAAATTCAATGCTTTTCCTCATTTCGCAGGAAAGCGCTTGGCATTTCGAAATGTTATTCTCGAAAGTTCAGTTGCCGGCAATGCTTTGTCCTTTCCCTAGTTTGATTGAAGTTTAAAGATTCTGAATTAAGCCAGCTGTGCCATCCATCCACTTCTCGAAATAAAAAGGAAGAGACAGCGAGGAAGAAGCTGGAAAATACATCGGACGCCAAAACCCAGCGCTTTTTCCTGCTCCCAACGGAGGCGATGCTGTGGTTCCTGGGCACACCGCACGCCACAGCCGCCAGGTACCCAACGGAAGATGTGTCTCCAGACATTTAAGACCATAAAAGGGTCTTAAAAAAAAACCAAAATGATGAGTTTTTGGGGACTGGTGAGGAAAGGAGGGATGGAGCCGCTGCTCGTGGCTGCCCGGTGACCCGCAGGCAGAGCAGCCCACGACGCCGACGGTGCGTCCCCGTGCCAGCGCCTGTGCGCACGAACCGCCACGGGTTTTGGAGCCAGAGGGGATGGCCCCCGGTGCGGGCACGGCCGTCCCTCTGTCCATCCGTCCATCCATCCGTCCGTCCTGGGCACAGCACTCACCTACCGGGCACTGGGGCCACCAGAGTTATCACCAGCCGACCAGTGGAGGCACATAAATTGGGATTCTGCCGCCTTCAGCGGAGCTGTTTAGTTCAGATCTTGGGGGCTGTCCCTGCCCCGCTCAATTCGCCGTTTATTACCGAATTCACATTTTTGGAAAATTTTCCACAGGACCCTGATGTGTGGGTCCAGGGCTCCCGTTCCGAGGGGAAGTGAAATTCATGGAATCACGGGATGGTTTGGGTGGGAAGGGACCTTGTAGATCATCCAGTGCCCCCCCCTGCCCTGGGCAGGGCCACCTCCCCCAGCCCAGGTTGCTCCAAGCCCCGTCCAACCTGGCCTTGAACACCTCCAGGGATGGGGCAGCCACAGCTCCTCGGGGCAACCTGCCCCAGGGGATCACCGCCCGCACAGGGGAGAATTTCACAGAACCACAGAATTTTCAGAGCTGGAAGGGACCTCCAGAGCTCACCCACCCCACTCCCCTGCTAAAGCAGGACTGCCCAGAGCACATCGCTCAGGACTGCATCCAGGCGGGATTGGGAAACCTCCAGAGAAGGGACTCCCCCCCCTCCCTGGGCAGCCTGTGCCACTGCTCCGTCACCCCAACCCTAAAGAAGTTCTTCCGTCTGTTGGACGGAACTTCCTCTGTTCCAACTTGTGCCCATTGCCCCTCGTCCTGTCACTGGGAACCACCGAGAAGAGTCTGGCTCCATCCTCCTCCAACCCCCCCGTTAGATACGTGTATGCCTTAATAAGGTCTCCCCTCAGCCTTCTCCTCTCCAGGCTAAAGAGTCCCAGCGCTCTCAGCCTCTCCTCATACGGGAGATGCTCCAATCCCTCCATCATCTTGGTTGCCCTTCGCTGGACTCTCTCCAGCAGTTCCCTGTCCCAATTTCTTCCCAATATCTCAACTAAATCTACCTCTTTTAGTTTGAAGCCATTCCCCCTCATCCTATCACTCCATGCCCTTGTAAGAAGTCCCCCCCCAGCTCTCCTGGAGCCCCTTTAGGCACTGGAAGGGGCTCTGAGCTCTCCCCTTTTTGGCCTTCTCTTCTCCAGGCTGAACCCCCCCAACTCTCCCAGCCTGTCCTCCCAGCAGAGGGGCTCCAGGGACGTAAACCCTTCTCCAAAGACAGAGCTCGAGGAGGTGACCCCGAGGAGCGAGGCTCTCAGACCAGGGCAAGCCCAAAGGCGGAGGTACGACAGGAGGGAGAGAGGTGGAGATTGGGGTTGTGGGACTTCTCGGCAACAGGTCACCCTAGAAGGCGACAGCACGACTTCCTAGACTCACACGCACACGAAGAGGTGGCGGCGCCTTCCCTTCTGGCGGAGGAGCCCCCTCGAGGCTTCCCCACGGCCGGGAGGACATGTCAGCAGAGGGGTGGCCATGGGGGCGAGAGCCGAGAGGCACCGAAGGGTCTGGTGCTCCTCCCTGGCAGAGGGAGAGCTGAGGTGGTGTCACACGGAACGAGAGGGACGGGACGGGTCAGGGACGAGGCGGATGATTTAGGGATGTGGAGTACGACATCAAAAGACCAGTACCTAAGTTCTCCGCGATCCTGTTCTTGCTCATCTCCAGGGCCTCTTGCCGGAGCTGCAGAGCGTGCTGGGCGATCTCGTCGCTCGCCACGTTGGAGGTCATGATGAAGATGGCATCCTTGCAGTCAATGGTCTTCCCCTTCCCGTCCGTCAGTCGGCCCTGCAACAACACCCCGCGACACCGGTGGCGTCAGCCCGTGCCCCGGCACATCGCCGAGACGCGAGGCGGAAGGACACGGGTCCCGTTTTTCCCCCCCGAGCGGAGTTACTACTGAGGGGGTGGCAGGGCTGAGCTGCCGAGGGTGAAGAAGACCCCACTTCTCCGAGGGATCACAGTAACTCGCCCTGCGCACGGTCCCAGCCTGCCCCAGCCGGGACGCGCTCCATGGAAGCCCTGGGAGATGTCAGGCAGGGGGTGGGCTGGGGCAGCTCGTGGAGCTGGTGGAGCGGGGCCAGAGGAGACCCCGGAGCTGCTGGGAGGGCTGGAGCCCCTCTGCTGGGAGGACAGGCTGGGAGAGGT